CTCGTGTCCCTCCAGCAGTGAGACCACGAAGCTCAGCTCACTTCCCTGTTCCCTGGCGCAGCCCTCCCTGGGGGCCATGCCTGCCTCTAGCTCAAGCCTGGAACCAGCACATGCCCCGGGGCAAAGCCTGCTGGTGGTCAGCGCACCTGGCTGGCCTCTCCTCCTTTAGAGCTTTAGGCCCCCCAGTCTGCTTCACTTAGCAGTTCCCTGAGGCCTTTAAAAGAGACGGTATTTGTATTTGATCTGCTTTTTCTACTTCCCGATTCCCTTACGATCAGCCGGAAGCAACTCCATCCGACTACAAGCCTCTCAGCACTTTGAAAGTGTTTACTTTCTTTCTCGGAGCTTTGAAAGCTGACTGTTCCTAAGGAATCAATTTACATCGTATCTTAAAAACATACTCCTACTGCTAAGTGGAAAAAAACAACAAAAAACCCAAACTGTTATACCATGTTCCCCGTAATCATGCTGTGGGTAAAATACATTTACAGACAGTTGTCCCTGGGTATCTGCTGAGCATTGGTTCCAGGACCCCTCCCCCCTGGCAAATACCAATTCCAAGGATGCTCATGTCCCTTCTATAAAATGGCGTAGTATTTGCACAGAGCCTACATACTCCTGTAGACTTTATATCATTGCTAGATTGCTTATAATACCTCATCGATGCAAATGCTATGTAAACAGTTGTTATCCTGTATTGTTTAGGGAATAACAAGAAAAAAGTCTGTACCTGTTCAATGCAGTCAGGCACGATAGGCCTAACGACATAATACCCTCAGCAACAATGTATAGTGGGGCCTTGACTTACAAGTTTAATTCGTTCCGTGACGGAGATCGTAACTCAGCAAAAAATCGGCCGAGAGCCGGCTCATATCTTGAAAAACTCGTTAGTCGGGACACTCGTAAGTCAAGGCCTCACTGTATCATATCCCCTCCCCCCCCCACTATTTTTCATCTGCAGTTGGTTCGAACTATGGATGCGGAACCCATGAATATGGAGGACTGACTGTGGTTGAGGATTTGAAATACATGAGTGGGATAGGATTATGGCAATTTATTTTGTAAAATGTTTCTGAAATATTACATAGTCTCTGAGAAGGACATAAATAAATGTCGGCAGAACCTGGGGCGGAGACGCAGGCGTGGGAAGATTAGCTGCGTAACTCGTCTCACACGTGACCTGTGTGCATTTGGGTCCCCCGGTTCCCTGTCCCTCGGCAGTGAGGCCATGAGCTCGGCTGGCCGTGTCCTGGCTGCCGCCCTGCCCTCTGCCTGGGCAGTGAAGGGAAATGCACATCTGAGACTCAGGGCCACAAAGGGCCGTGAGTGTTTTGAGGAAACAGGCATTTGGTTGTACTCGCTGGCTTCCAAACAGAAGAGAGCAGTCCAGCCCTGATGTGGAGGCACAGATTGCCTTTCAGGATATTAATGAGCAAAGGGATTATACTTCTGCAAGATCCTTTATGAAAAGATCAGCTATTAATTATTTTTTGTATCGATGAAGGGATAGTAGGTATAGATGGCGGCTTTGTTAGGACTTTTTAGATCACTTTTTCTGATTATAGGATATGGATCTTAGATGATGTGTTTGGGCATTGTACCTTTTTAAAAAAATGTTTTGCTTTGAGAGATAAAGGAGAGGGAGAGAAATATGGGTCGGCTGCCTCCTGCACGCCCCGTTCTGGGATGGACGAGTGCCCTGACCGGGAGTCCAGCGGGTGACCTCTGGTGCAGGGGACAACACTCAACCACTGAGCCACACTGGCCGGCTGCACCTTTTCTTTTTAGATGTTAGTGTTGACAGCACAGCAGGTTATTGCCGACGGTCTCTCCTCACAGCGTTATTCTAGGCTTCCACACGGGGGTCAGCACACGACGGCCGGGCAAATCCAGCCTGAGTACCCGAGCTGGGATCAGCTGGCTTTGCATCCTCAAGCTAAGAATAGAACGACCTTTTTACATGGTTGAAAAAAATTTTATGACACATGCAAATATGAAATTCAAATTTCACGTCCTAAAATAGTGTCGCCGGAGCACAGCTGTGTGCATTCGTTCCTGTGTCAGCTGTGGCTGCTTCCCTGCATAATGTCGAGTCGCTGCAGCAGACCCCATGGCCCTCAAACTGAAATATTTACTCCCTGGTCCTTCACAAAAGGACCTTGTGCTGGTGCCTACGAATAACAAGTTTCACGGAGCGACTTCCTGGGGGGTGGACCGACGATGAACGGCCCTGCCTGCAGCCAAGCCTTTTGCCAGGAGACTTGAGTGCCGCTTTCCCTCTGGCCCTGGCACGGTCACATGACCCGCTTTGACCAACGGGAGTCAAAGAGACACAACACAAGCAGAGGCTTGACATGGCTTTGCTCACGGGGGCTTGTTCTCCTGCTCCTCGGCCACTGTCACATGAACAGACTCGCTCATCACAGAAGGGTCATGTGAACCCGAGTGAACAGCCCCGTCATCCCCGCGGAGGCGGCCTGGGTTAGCCAAGAGCCACGGGGCCCGGGGCCATCACGCTGCCCGGCTGACCCACAGCTGACCAGACTCATGAGCGAGCCCAGCAGAAATCGCCCCGACTCGGCCAGGCCGCCTGAACCCAACTCAAGAGCCGCGTGACCGTTTGTGGTTGTCTGCGCTGAATCCGGTGGCGGCTCCTCACACACTGTTCTGGCAACAGACAACTGAGACCCTGGGCACACGGATTTAAAAAATGTCTTTGCCAACACAGGCTAAGGAACATGTCTACGCTGCTGAGGGCAGTTGAGGGACCTGACGGGGCGGAGTCTGAAGGAAGCACAGAAGTCTGGACTCCAGGGCGGGGCGGGGTGGGGCATCAGGTTCCATTCTGAATTCCTCCAAGAATATGGTGTATGCATAACGGGACTCGATAAACTGTGTCATGTGTGTATGCTCTGTGGCCCGAGCTGCCCACGGGGCGAGGCTGGGACTTGGCCCGCCTCCTACCAGGAAGGGGAGCGATCTAGACCGACGGACACCACCACTTCTGGAAACACTTCCATTTATTCCCTATTTATAAAACGTAAGAAACAGAAAGGGCCTTGGGCACAGAATCTCAACGTCCCAGGCGTGGTCAGTCAGCAGCACAGAAACACCCCTCTTTGTCTTTGTGTCGCCTGGTCCTTAGGATGTGGAGCAGAGCGCAGATGCGGGGAGTTCCCACGGATAAAGCCGAGGGCCCTGTGAGCAGAGGGGGGAGGGGCGGGCAGAGCCGAGAGGGGCTGGGGGGCTATGCATGGCCTGGAGTCTGCACCGGAACCTGAGTTTGCAAGAGGGAGGATCTTGCTTCTCGGCTGCGGGACACAACTGGCCTGAGCCTGTCGGCTGCGTCCTGGGCCCGGGGCCATCGTCCCCCTCGCAGATCCCCATGTGGCCCCTGCCAGGCAGGAGGCACCCATCAGTGTGACGCGTCACCTTCGGACTTGCGTGAACTCCTTGCGCAGCCACACGGAGTCCTGGTAGAAGCGAGGGTCGCCCAGTCTCACGGCCGTGCGTTTGTAGAAGTAACAGTATAACACCGCCGCTGGGGGCGAGAAGAGGAGGCCGGGCCCCTGAGGACTTGCTTCAGCGAGAACAGAGCCCCAGGAGGCTGAGGCCACCTCGTGACACCCAGGGACTCCCCGCAGCCGAGGCAGCCCCGTTGTTGGTGTGGCTGTCCCCCGCCCCCCACCAGCTGTGGGGGCTCACAAGCCAGGACCCAGGCCCTCACCACGGGGGCCTGAGGCTGCCCGCCCTTACCTAGCCTCTGGGACACAAACAGTGTTTGAAGCCCCTCTGTCCAGACAAAGCGGTTGGAGTCTTTCCAGCGTAAGTTCTGCAGGAGACAGGGAGGCAGGAAAGGTCAATGGCCAGGAGCGGCCCTAACGCCTCCAACTGGGTGAGCTGCACAGTGACCGCTGGTTTAAAGTCAGGCTGATCTCACCCTCTTTCCACAGCCCCAGTGGTGGTTCTCAGAGGTGCCTCAAGCGCCCTTTTTTGCTGCAAAGCAAATCTCCTTTTAACCCGAGGGAGGAGGTGTGAACTACGCTGGTTATACCTTCACCCCACAGCCCCGGCCCAGGAGAAAGGCCACACTAGCGCAGCCTCGGGGGCACTGCCGACCTAGAAAAGCTCGGGCTCAGAGCTGTCAGACAAGGGCTCGGGCACCGAGGGCGTAATCACGGGCTTCCCAGGACACGGCCAGGACCCAGAGCAGGGACCATCTTCTCTAGGAAGCACCTGCGACTGGGCACAGCCGGCTCCCTCCCTCCGAGAAGGTGGCTTCAGTACCGAGATGACCAGACCCCCGGAAGCTGTAATGCGCCCCTTAGAAGGCGACTTGAGAAACCCTGGGACACTGGAGGGAGGAAGCCCGTGAAGCGGAAGGAACCTGGAACCACGAACACTGTGTCTGCTCTGCGCCCATCGAGGGCCGAGGAGGCACCTGGCGTCGGCTCTCCTGGGGTGACGGTGGTGCGGGGGCCGAGGCACAGACGGGCAAGCAGCACTCTGGTGTGGCTCTTTCCCATAAGACACCGGGGCCTATAAAGTCCCTGGGTCAACACCCACCCAAACAGATGAGAGAGATTCAACTTCCCGTTTGGGCCCCAGGAGACCTGTTTGGGGCGAAGGTGAACTGAATGTTCCAGAAGCTGGACTCCAACACGGAAGGTCGGGCAAAAGTGCCTCGGAGACTCACATACCCTAGTCCAGGCCACACTCCCTTCACCTTTCTGATCCAGGGTCTGGGCGATGTGCGAGAATGATGCCGGCCCCCGAGGAAAGCTATTCCTGGCCCTTTAAGGATTCAGAGGTTCGCAGCTCACTTACCATGACCCAGACGTGGAGGGCGATGCTGAGGGCGAAGTACACGGCTGTCAGGACGATGGTCCCCTTGAACTTATGGAACAGAAGGCTGACCAGGCCGGCCTGGAAGACGAACGTGTTGAAGAACATGAGGAAGATGATGATGATGTTGAAGAGGATCGCGATGTCCTGGATGCTGCAGGCAAATGCAACAAAGCACAGCCATGGGGCGGCCGTGAGGGCCGAGCTGCGCTGGGTCCCAAGGGGCACCCGGACTCTGTCCTCCTGTGACCCCGTCCTCCGAAGCCCCCCTGAGGGAGCATGCGCTCTGGGCCCCAAATGAGATGAATGAAACTAAGGCTCCCACTGGCCGAGCAGCTAGTTACAGCCACAGACAAGGCGTCCTGCTGACACACTTCCCTCCAGGAGCCCCCTGGGCGCTGTGGGCAGCTGGTCCCTCCCTCTGTCCAGAGCCGCCATGCTGGGCACACAGCTGGGCACATGTCCTAGCAGACGCTCCCATCCAGACTGCAAAGCGCCCGCTGATCTTTGCACGGCTGTGCCTCAGGGCCGCTCAAGTCTCAGCTCAGGTGTCCCTCTTCAGAAAGACTTCCTTTAGCGCCATTAGCTAAAGTGGCCCTTCTCTCCCCGCCCCTCCCCAGCTACTGCATGTCCATTGCATGACACATCACTAGTTGAAATGACCCTTTTAAAAGATGTGTATATTCCCTGTCCACCAGAAGGGAACTCCACGAGAGCAGGAGGTCGGGGTCGCCACTGTGACGAGAGCGCCGCCTGGCAGGCCGGGGCACTGCCTCATGGAGGACGGTCACGCCTAAGACTGCACTTTTCCCCCGGAACTGCCTCATGGAGTCTCCATATGTTACTGTGAAGGGAAATGCCAACAGCTTCCATCGTGTGAGAGTCACATATTTTATGAATACAATTGCCCTTTAGCTTGCCATCTTGCAATCCTCCTCATGGCCACAGGAGACAGTATTTCTGCTCACAGGTGCAGAAAGTGACAGGGTTAGCAGTCGGACCCCGTGTCTATGTGAACTGCTCCCGTCTCCCAGGCCCTTGTCAGAGGGAGAGAAGCAGGACCTGTGGCGTCTCCATGGTCCTCGTACTTCCTTCCTCAGATTCCCTATTAGTAACTTTTAAGGCCCGACTGTCCAGGCCTCACGCTGCTTGTGGTTGGCTGTCAGTCCCACCCACTGAACTCACATGAACAGCACCAGCTGGATGACGGGCGCCGCGCGGAGCAGCTCCGAGAAGGAATTGACAAAGAGGTCATAGGTCAGCAGCAGGAGCTGCAGGGAGAGCACCAGGCTGTAGCCGCTGGCCTGCAGCATCTTCCTCTGCTCTCGGCCTCCGAGGGCACATTCCACGTCCCCCAGACAGCACCCGACTCGCCCAGCGCCCAGGGAGAAGAATCAGAGCTGTTTCTTTTACTCTAAGACAAGAGCCTGTTGGGGCAAAAAAAAGTGGTTAAAAGTTCATGAATACAATGACTATTTCCTGAGGACCTCAAGGGTGTTCCAAAATTCACGCAATAAGTAATTTTGATAGAAAACACAGGTTTATAATTAAAAATTGTAAATTTTTTATGGCTTCATAAAGTATACAGTATAGGGTTATGTATGGAATAGCATATCGGGTAATTGGCCTCCACGGCTTTGCTGGCACATACGCACTCTTTTGTTATTGCCTGAGCAGCCGCATTTTCAAAGAAGAATGGTCCGATGATGCCTCCAGCCCAAAATTCACCAAACAGTGACACGTTGTGGATGCATCTGTTTCTCAACAATCACTCGTGGATTTTCTGAACCCCAAATTCGACAATTTTGTCGATTAACCAAGCCATCAAGATGAAAATGAGCCTCATCGAAATTCAGCCACATTTATGCAAAACGGTCATGGAAAATTTCAACAAAACAGTGCGTATGTGCCAGCAAAGCCGTGGAGGCCATTTACCCGATATGCTATTCCATACATAACCCTATACTGTATACTTTATGAAGCCATAAAAAATTTACAATTTTTAATTATAAACCTGTGTTTTCTACCAACATTACTTCTTGCGTGAATTTTGGGACACCCTTTATTATGGGCCAGGCACCATGCTAGGTGCTCGGATACAGCAGTGAACAAAACCACCACCACCAACAAACCCCGAGGAGGCACTCCCTCCGGGCACCTCACCCTAACCTTCCCCCGTGCTCCATGCTGGGAACTTGGACACTCAGAGCTCTTTCAACCACTTTGAGGCCAAAGGGCTCCAGGAGCACACGAGTGTCTGGTCGAGTAATAATACCGATTCTAATACTGATACTTACTGTGGCTGCAGTCCTTTACATGTGTGCTGGGACCAGTCTAAGCACTCCTATTGTTTAAATCTCACAAAGTAGAAGATACTCCCCATTTTACAGATGGGACAACTGAGGTCCAGAGAGATGAACTAATCTGTCCAGGGTCACACTGCTAGTAAGCGGCAGAGCTGGGATTCGGATCCAGGCAGTCTGGTCTGGGTGCTCTTACCTACTGCACAAAGCGGTCTCTTACATTACTGACAGGCCGATATGGAACCAGGCGGGAACATGTTGGCACAGGAGAAGTGGGAAGTGGTGCAGGCAGAAAAAGCTGAGAGGAAACGGTGCTCTCCCGCAGAACTGCGTGTAAGGTTATGGGAGCAACACAGTGGGCACCAGGGAATAGAAGCTGGGCCTTTATTTCCATACTAGAGGCCCAGTGCACGAAATTCGGGGGTCCCTCAGCCCAGCCTGTGCCCTCTCGTAGTCCGGGAGCCCTCAGGGGATGTCCGCACTGCGCTCACCAGCCATGAGCCCGGCTCAGGGCTTCTGGCTGAGCGGTGCTCCCCCTGTGGGAGCACACTGACGACCAGGGGGCAGCTCCTGTGTTGAGCGCCTGCCCCCTGGTGGTCAGTGCATGTCATAGCAACCGGCTGTTCTGCTGTTCGGTTGATTTGCATAATAGCCTTTTATTATATAGGAGGATATGACAAGACCCAGAAGTTGCTCTGGGGGTGTCCTGTGACCACTCCATCTGGATTAAATTTATGAACAAATTTCAAAATGCTTTGAGGTGGCCCGGCCGCAGTTGAGCGCCTGCCCCCTGGTGGTCAGTGCATGTCATAGCAACCGGCTGTTCTGCTGTTCGGTTGATTTGCATAATAGCCTTTTATTATATAGGAGGATATGACAAGACCCAGAAGTTGCTCTGGGGGTGTCCTGTGACCACTCCATCTGGATTAAATTTATGAACAAATTTCAAAATGCTTTGAGGTGGCCCGCACGCAGTGGCTCAGTGGTTAAGCTTCCACCTATGAACCAGGAGGTCATGGCTTGATTCCTGGTCAGGGCACATGCCCGGGTTGCGGGCTGGATCTCCAGTGTGGGGCGTGCAGGAGGCAGCCGATCGGTTATTCTGTCATCATTGATGTTTCTCTCTCTCCCTCCCTGAAATCAATAAAAATATATTTTTAAAAATGTTTTGAGGTGTTAGAGATTGAGATTGAATTAACATCTGTAAAATGCTTTACAATGTACAACTCTTTTCAGACTTATTACTTTGTTTCATCCCACACTGGCCTGTGCAGCAGCGGTTAGCGTGCGTGTGCCCCCATCTCACAGAGGCTGAGGGGTCAGGAGCCTCGCCCAGCTCGCCTGCTGAAGGCCCGCCTGCTGCGGGTAGGAACGTGGTTTCTCTGCGCCCAGCTTCCTCCTTCATCAGATACTGGTAGTTATCGCGTACTTACCAGCACCGAGGCAGCTCCCTCGAACCCTGCAGCTCCTCTGCAAGGCGGGAAAGCATGATCCCCATCCTGCAGGTCAGAGTTCAGGTCACCGGCCAGCGGGCAGGGGAGTGGAGCCGGGATGCCGCCGCCCGCCGCGCTCCCTTTGCCCCAGGGCACGCCCCCTCGCCTCCCCGAATCCGCTTTAACAACGGGGCTGCCTTGGCAAGAAGCCAAAATCCAAACAACAACAAGGCGCCGACTTCCGGACACTTTCTCTGCTAGTCCTCAAGCAGCGCACCTCAAGCCCCAACGTCGGTTGTCATGGAGACACCGTCCTGGCTTCCGGAAACCTATTCAAATTCCGGAAGTGGAGGCGGAGGTTTCCTCGGCCCGCTCTGTGGACGGCCGGGTGGCCATGTTGGGGCCCAGCTTTCCTGGGCCCGACCTTCCGCGTGGCCTTGCTGAGCGCCAGCCCCTGG